ATAAATAAATAAATAAATAAATAAATAAATAAATAAATAAATAAAGAAAGAAAGAAAGAAAGAAAGAAAGAAAGAAAGAAAGAAAGAAAGAAAGAAAGAAAGAAAGAAAGATTCTTTTTCTTCTTCATTCGCTAAAAGGCTACTCTGATGTGGGAAAGAGACATGATGCATGCCGTTGTGTTAAGATATGTTACTATGTGGTAGAGAAGGAGCCGTAGCTCTGTGTTGCTAAAGTTGACAGGAGTCAGTAATGTCTGAGATTCACCTAATTTATGAAATGCTACATTCACAACAGCACCTAGGCAGAGAAAGCTGCCCCTAGCGGCCTTGGATCAATGAGATATTGAATAAATAAAGCATGGAGTGGGAGTGCTTCCAGTGGCTCCACACCTGACACCTGTGCACTGAGCAGAATGTATGAATGGGCTCAGTAACATATGAGAATAGGCAGATATGTCAGTTCCATTATCATGGATTTACTCCGTTCCTCAGACCTATGCCAAGTCTATTTAGATTGGCTGTGTTTGTTTATTTATGGGGAGGCATTGTTTGTATTTTTCTGATTTTTTTTTTCAATTGATATATTTGTGCATGCATGCTTTTGTGACTAAAGAATGTCCCTGTCTCTTTTTAGATATGTGTGCAGATTATAAAATCTTTTAAAAAGTGCATTTGTCAAATGCGGTCCTTCCTAGAATGCATTACAATCCCAGTAATGTATGAATTTCTGCTCATGAATAGCATATGTTCAGAATTGGGTAAATCTGGGAGTGGATAGGAAACTCCAAATTCTTGACAGAGCGCATTTATTATGTTTCCTTAATTTATATGTTTGATTAGGATTCCTAATCACTCAGCAATCCCATGTAAATTGAAGAGTTTTCATATATACAATTATATAGATGGAGACCTCCATTCATGACTGCACTTGAATGTGCAGCATGCGTGTCTTCCAAACTGGGAAACTATGACTGACATACCAGATGTTAAATCAATCTCAGACTGTAGTTCAGTGTCCTGTCTTGTTCCACAGATGATAACTAATTTAAGACAAAATGGTGAACTATTTTTAATGGAACTGTTGGATAGCTCAGTGGTTTAGGTATTTGGCTGTGGAGCCAGAGGTTTGGAGTACAGTTCCTCACTCTGCCTCCTAAGAGGGGCTGGACTTGATGATCTATAAGGTTCCTTTCAGTTCTGCCATTCTAAGATTATGTTGATGATAAAGATCTCCCAATTCATTTACATGGAAATTAGCCTTCTGTGTCTTATCAACAGGAAAAAAAAGAGGAAATGTCTAGGAGAAAAACTGATACAGATTTGTTTAAAATTTATTTAAACCAATGTATATCTCTTGGTGCAAATATTCAAATTTTATTTGCTCCCAGGTGCTGTTGATGGACAACTAGAAGTACCTTTCATGCTCAAAGAGATATGGATTGGGCAGCACTTCAAATAAAGAGTATCTTCAGATAGAGGTCTGTCCTGTAACAGCTCTTCCGCTGATGATTGTCCTCAGTAAATTATGTCACATGGGCACCCTTCTTACAAGAATAAGGTACATTCACAGCCAGAGAGCTTGTTCATGACCTGGCTTGCTTATCTGAGATAAGATTACCCAGATATGGACTCGGGGTCAAAAAACATGTAATGTCAGCATTTAGAAGATGACAGTCTGATGGTTGTGTAGAAAGAGTGTTCCTTGAGGGCTCAGTGCCTGAGCAATTTGACTTCTAAATGAAGCCTATGTTTACCTCTTAAGGACCAATAACAAAACAAAGCAAGGTGATCTGTAAGATATGGAGTGTGAGAAAATTGTGCATTAGAGGCATCTTTTTGCACTTAAGGAAGTCCCACTTTGAAAAACATGCTAAGTGGATTGCCTAGTGCCAGACATCTCGAGTGCTACACTTACAAGCTCTTATCAACACAACACAACACATTCTACTTCTTTGTGTCTTGCATTTTGTCTTCTGTTTGCTTTTTGTTTTGGGTAAATTATTTGTGTAGTTTGTGCTGGGCGATATGTGGTTTGGAGGGAACTTATACAGGCCTATATTTCTAGAATGTTCTCTATTTACTTTTCTGCATTGCTTACTTCTTCACCGAATATGATGCTACAAGGAAATTGACAATTTATATCTCATTTCTCTGTTTCTGAGTAAGGCTACAGACATTGGTGATTTAATTTAGTCACTTTTGTTTTTCAAAACAGTAAAGCACTGGTTGGGAGACGAAAGAGTTACAGAAAACCTTTTCTGAGTGGTAATCAGAGTAAAACATAATGGCCTCTAGTTGCTTTGGCTTGACCACCAACGGATGTGGGTACTCTCAGAGCAAACAAGACAGCAAAGGATGACGATTCTTGACACTGGAATGTAGATGTTGGCAGTGACCACTGAGTCCTTGGTTTGGTTTTTGGCTGGCCTCCGGTAACATCCTTGATTAGCCTCTGATGCTGGCTTGTGCTG